CGAGTGCCATGTTTGGCACGCTAGCCAGGGGTTGCCCACCCCTGCCCTAGACCCACCCTGCCCATACCTCTCTCCCTCACAGCCCCTCCCCCCGCTGCCCATCACTTCTCTTCCTCACACCCCCTCCCCCATCACCTCTCTCACAGCAGCTGCAGGGACTGGGACTAGGACCCTTTGAGACCATGGTTCTCCCTGCACAGGTTGGGCATTTACCTGAGGTCTCAGTCAGTGCACCGAGGGGCTGTGTTTAAACTCAGCATCTGAGTCTCGGGCACATTCTTGGGACCACCTGTCCCACCCCTGCCTCTTGCTGCAGGAGAGTGCCATGTTTGGCACGCTAGCCAGGGGTTGCCCACCCCTGCCCTAGACCCACCCTGCCCATACCTCTCTCCCTCACAGCCCCTCCCACCACATCACCTCTCTCCCTCCCAGCCCCTCCCTACCCCTACCCATCACCTCTCTTCCTCACACCTCCTCCCCCATCACCTCTCACTCAGGGGCTGCAGGGACTGGGACTAGGACCCTTTGAGACCATGGTTCTCCCTGCACAGGTTGGGCATTTACCCGAGGTGTCAGTCAGTGCACCAAGGGGGACCACCTGTCCCACCCCTGCCTCTTGCTGCAGGAGGCCCTGTGTGTGTGCGTGTGTGTGTGTGTGTGTGTGCGTGTGTGTGTGTGTGCGTGTGTGTGTGTGTGCGGGCGCGCACGCATGTGTGCGCGTGTGTGCGCATGTGCACGAGCGTGTGTGTGAGCGTGTGTGCGTGCGTGCGTGTGCGCGCATGTGTGCGCGCGCGTGTGTGTGTGTGTTCGTGTGTGCGTGTGTGTGTGTAGCCAAGACACTAAATGTTGCCGGGAAGACGTGATTGAACTGAGAATGTCGACTAACAAGCGGGCCACCTGTGCCTTGCAGCGGAGTCACCCACAAGTAAGCACAGCAGCAATTCCCTGGGATAATAATTCGGGGTGTCTTTCTCCCCTTTCCGTCCGCTCCAGTCGCCTCGGAAGGCAGTGCCGGGACCTGCGCGCAGCATTACGAGGAGGTGCTGGCCGCCGCCTCCGACCCGCCGGACACCGTGCAGGCCAGGGAGGGACGAGCGCTGTTTTGGTGGAAGCTGTGTCGGACCTTTTCCCTCCAAGTAGTGAAACACTGAACACGCAAGCTTATCAAATCACTCTCTCATGGCACCGTACCTGGATGTTTTCCCGATTTTGCATCATGTCGAATCGGGGCCAAGTGCTGCTTTCTTCCTTTTGAAACCGGGAAATAAGGCGCAAGACCCGACTCTTGGCCACGCAGTTCGTGCCCTCTGCCTGCCGTCTCCTCCAGCGGCCAGGTGACCTCTGTCCTCTCCGGTCCCAGTCCTCAAAGCAAGGAGCAGGCACAGGAGACAACTCATGGCACCACTGGTTGTGTCCGACTAACTTTATACTGTTTGCGCCCCAGGCCCCGGGCAGAGCCGACTTCGCGGAGTACGCCTCGGTGGACAGGAACAAAAAGTGTCGGCAGAGCATGAACGTAGACAGTGTGCTGGGCCCTGCCCGGGACGCAGAGGAGGAGGCCCCACCGCCGGTGCCCGTGAAACTTCTGGACGAGAACGAGAACCTGCAGGCGCAGGACAGGAGCGCCTCCGAGGGGACCCAAGAGACCAACAAGGTGAGCGCCTGTGGCCGCAGGAGTCGGGGCCTGGGCTCCTCCTGGCTGTGTTCGAGGAGATACCCCCCCACACACACACACATACACACACACAGGCCTGCGTGCAGGGCAGGGAGGGACGAGCACTGTTTTGGTGGAAGCTGTGTTGGACCTTTTCCCTCCAAGTAGTGAAACACTGAACACGCAAGCTTATCAAATCGCTCTCTCATGGCACCGTACCTGGATGTTTTCCCGATTTTGCATCATGTCTAATCGGGGCCAAGTGCTGCTTTCTCCCTTTTGAAACCGAGAAATAAGGCGCAAGACCCGACTCTTGGCCACGCAGTTCGTGCCCTCTGCCTGCCGTCTCCTCCAGCAGCCAGGTGACCTCTGTCCTCTCCGGTCCCAGTCCTCAAAGCAAGGAGCAGGCACAGGAGACAACTCATGGCACCACTGGTTGTGTCCGACTAACTTTATACTGTTTTTTTTAAGCAATAGAGTACAGTACTCTTTTTTTAAAATATATTTTTATTGATTTCCGAGAGGAAGGGAGAGGGAGAGAGAGATAGAAGCATCAATGATGAGAGAGAATCATTGATCGGCTGCCTTCTGCAGGCCCCCGCATTGGGAATGGAGACCGAAACCCCAGCATGTGCCCTGACAGGAATCAAACCTGGAACCCAGTCTGCATGCCGATGCGCTATCCCTGAGCCAAACCGGCCAGGGCTGAACTTTATACTTTTAGTGAGAGATTGTGTTTTGTGACAATTTCTAAACAGCAGCCCGTCCCTCCCATTTAGATATTCAGCAAAGCTCTAAGTGCCGCGACCCGCAAGCTCTCCCTGTGCTTCTGTGACCTGGCGTGTGAGTGACGGGCCGAGATGTTCTCCTGTCCCGTGGGGTTTCACTAGGCTTGGTCTTCTCTAGGCAGCTGACATCTAGGTACTATGTTCTGCACAGAAAAAAGCAAGTTTGCTTCTTAGGTTCTGGTAGGAAGGCCACATAGGGGTCAGTCCGACAGTAGCAGCCTTTAGACCGTTCTGGAGTTCATGGTCAGAAGTGAACTCTGGCACTAAGTCGGTCCTCGTAGTGTTTCCACTTTTCAGATTTTCCACGAAATCAGCTGCCCAGAGCCCCTACAAAGGTGATCGTAGTCGTGAAATACAAACACAGTCTAATGTTTGCCCTTGGCATAACCAAAGAGGATGACACGAATGTAAAGTGTTTGTCCGTGAGGGTGGGTTCCCGGGGACCAGGGCGGGGCTGAGGTTAAGGTGGGCCTGGGAGGCTGAGCCAGGGGAGCAGAAAGGAAGGTCCCAGCGAGGCAGACACCGGGAGGGGCCCGGGCAGCAGCCAGCGCAGACGGGGTTCCCAGGAGTCCGGATGGTGGAGCGGCTGTGGGCTGTGGTTCAGGTACGAGGAGGTCGGGCTGTGGGGCCAGGACATGAGCGGTGGGGCCGTGTGGAGGAGGGCGGTGGGGGAGGTCGGGGAACTGAGGGCTGGGTTTGAAAGGACGCGTGTTTGTTGAAATTGTTGAAATCGGGGAGAATGTGCGGAGACAGGAGAGGTGTGGGAGAAGCGAGGCAGGAGCCTGCCGCCAGCGCGAGCTGCCTCTGCGTTAGCTCTGATAAGGTTCCCGGTGGCTCGGGAATCTTTCTGACGACTCGTGCACACTGTCCGAACACAAGATCCAGGCATGCCATAAAGAAGCCATGTTTTTTATTATCGATTCTTCATTGATGATCAATCCGTCACTGACAGGAATTGAAACAGTAGTCTGTTTGGCTTATTTGTACCCACCGGTGCAAATACAAAAGTGGAAGAAATGTCTGTTCTGCTACTGGCTCTCCAGAAACATCACAGAATAGGCTTCTTGCGTGTGTATTCCTCTGGGGCTTTACACAATGTCATTGCAGAACATCCTCGATTTCCTAACAGTCGTCTGAGAGCGTTCTTACAGAAAGATGCCACACACAGGCGGCAGCCGGCATCGACGTCACCCCCCTCGTTTCTGTTTTCCTCACAGAGGTTCAGTGCCCTGTCGTACAAGTCCCGCGAGGAAGACCCGACGCTCACAGACGAGGAGGTGAGTTCTGTGGCTTTCCGAAAGGAGTTTGTTGGCTTTTAGAGAGAAGAAGGGAGAGGGAGAGAGAAGGAAAAAAACACTGATGTGAGTGCATCGATCGGCTGCCTCCTGCACGCCCCCTACTGGGGATCGAGCCCACAGCCCGGGCATGTGCCCTGACCCGGATCGAAGCTCTTGGTGATGGGATGACGCCTGAGCCACACGGGCCAGGGGAGGGTTATAGCTTTGTAGTGACCCGGATCGAACCTCTTGGTGATGGGATGACGCCCAACCACTGAGCCACACGGGCCAGGGGAGGGTTATAGCTTTGTAATCACCAGGAAGCCCCTATAGTGAGACCAGAGTCCCTCCTGGTGCACCCGCGTCGCTGACCCTCTGTGTGAGTGGCTGAGCCTCTCTGACGTGCGGCGGGAGCTGGGTCCGGGTGCTGGCTCGGCAGTGGCTCAGGTGGAGGGACTGGCAGGTGGGTGGGCAGGTCCGCTGAGTAAAGGAGACCGAGTAGGAAAGGAGGGTCAGGAAAGCCGGGGGTGGGGGGGAGGAGGAATAAGAGAGGGACTTAGGAACAAGAGTCTAGTTGGCATTCCGATGTCCGTCCGCGCAAGGGGAAGGCCATCGTGGGTTGGAAAGTACAGGAAATTGGAATGGGTGGGGGTGTGGAGGGGGTTGACCAGCAGGGAGCCTGAGGCGGCTGTCCCAGCGAGGGGGCTGCAGGCAGAGGGCGTGAGTTCCTGCCCGGCTGCACCAGCCGTCAGCCAGCCGTACAGCCAACAAGGCCGCTTACAGGTTCTCCCAGCTCCGGGCCGAGGAGGCGCTGGTTAAAGGTCCGGGGAGCGTGAGAGGTGAAGGCCAGTCGTGCGTTGTCCTGCCTGTCTCTCCTGGCTCAGAGACCTGGGCGCCCTCAGCGGTCGGGCTGCAGGTGGCTGCCCTCGGACCCGGCAGGGAGTCCCATCCGCGTGCAGAGGTGGTGGTGGGCACAGGCAGCGCCTCCTTGGGGGTCTGCGAGAGGATGGAGCAGCAGGCACTGCGGCCGGGGACAGGAGCAGAGGCTTGCTGAGGGTGATGCCGCCCACCCTCCAGGGTCCTCCCCGGGGAGGCACCTGCCATCTGGCCACCGGTTGCGTAAGCCACACCTGGGGGTCATCCTTGACACCTGTTCCTCACCGTCCTCAGATGCCGCCAATAGCCAAGTCCCTCAAGTCCACCTCCAAACGGTTTCTTCCGTGTCCCGTCTCCATCCCACAGCCCCTCCTGCCTGGGCGGGCGGGCCCTGGCCTTCCTCCAGCATCTCCCACACTGTGCCAGAGCCACCCCTTTGGGACAAGAGAATAGAATGTATAGGGTGTCCCAAAATTCACGCAAGAAGTAATTTTGATAGAAAACACAGGTTTATAATTAAAAATTGTAAATTTTTTATTGATTCATAAAGTATACAGTATAGGGTTATGTATGGAATAGCACATCGGGTAAATGGCCTCCACGGCTTTCCTGGCACATATGCAAAGCTGTGGTCTTCATTGGTCTTCATTGTCCCTGCTCCTGGGCCATAATTGGTACTTGGTAACACTTATTAAATTGAAGGGATTAAAATCAAAGGGCAACAGGTATTAGAATCTGATTCAATAAACCAAGTAAAATTAGGCTTTTATTTTTTGTTGTTGTTGTTGTTGATGCTCACACAAAATTCAAATCTTGCGTGAATTTTGGGACACCCTATATAAGAGACCTGGAAGCGAATCCTATTAAAATAAACCAAGACCGTGTGAAACTTTAAATTACTTATGAGAACATAATCTACAGACTGAGTAATAAAAATGAAAGATTTTAAAGAGAAAAAAAAATCAAAGCTAAGGCCTTGAAGAGAAACCTGTATGCAAAATAGAACTATAGTCACAGAAGACAGATACTCGAGAGGAATATTAGGAGACCTGAGAAACTTCTATCAGGAAGTTCACTGTGACGCTCTGCATGTGATGCTCATGTCCAGGGATGATATCAGTGGAGGAGCCTGTAATTTGTTAGAAGAGGGTTTCTCCCCAGGGAAGGAACTGGAGGGGAGGAGCAGAGCTGGAGGTGAGGGGCCGGCTGTCGCCTTTGCAGCGCAGGCGCCGCTGTGTCTGTCCCCCTGTGTGACCCCGAAGATGAAGGTGAGCGTGGCTGGCCCCCGCATCACTGGCACCCACGACTTACCCCTTTATAACCTGTCCACATTCCGGCTGGGACTACTTTCTGGATAAAAGGTTCCGTGTGTTTGCAGTCACTATGAAAAGCAGACGATTTATTCATTCTTCCCAAATTCAAAGAAATTGTGTCTTCATTTTGAGAGTCATTTTTCCATTAGAACCTCTAAGGTGAGAATGTTCGGTGAACAGTCGTCAGAATAGTCAGACCACCCACGGTTGCTCCTGTGCCTAAACCTTCGGGTCGTCCAGGCCTGTGGGACCGTCCTCATGCAGATGACCAGCGGCCGTCCCGGAGGCCCGCGGCCCGGGGA